GCCTTCCTTTCAGCCTTCTTTCCATCCTTCCTCCCCTTCTTTCTTGATGGTACTAGAGATTGAACTCAGGGCCTTATGCTGCACTTTTGCTCCAGCAAAGTTCACTGTGCACCCACTCAGGGATGCTTGTAGACCTCTAGCAGCTCACAGTGCCCCTTTCTTCCCCTTGCAGGACAAGTGCAGCCCACCCCTCAGTACAGGTTCCGGAAGAGGGACAAAGTGATGTTTTACGGCCGGAAGATCATGAGGAAGGTAACTTGCACACAGGCACTAGGTTGCACCTGGGTTCCTTACTGGATAGCCTCTGTGGTATGGGGGCCTACTGCTTGCTAGGCTCCTGAGCCCCTGGTCCCTACAGCTCCTGGTGTGTGCCACCCCTCCTCTGGCCCCATAGCCCCTGTTGCTGGATGCAGGGTTTGGGGGATAATGTAAGTCATTCTGATTGTTGTCTGTCTCCCCTAGCCAAACCCAACACATTTTACCTCAAAATACTCCACCTGGCACAGCTCAGGGAGGGCATGGTGCAGAGTGGCATCAGGAGGGCTTGGGCATCTGACTTGAAGCATCTGAGACTGCTTTGGCAAATGCAAGGACAGGAGGCCCTTGGACCCTCTGAAGCACAAATGTGTGTTAACAAGAGGACAGATAGCTAGACAAGGGACCTCTCTGGAGACAGGATGAGTAGGCACAGAGGGCCTCCTATCTGTCCTAGGGTAGCTGTTCTCTGCCAGGATTCAATTGCTGAGCTGAGGAAGGAGCCCAACCCTCTTGGGCTTGGAGGACTGCAGTTCACTGATGGACCCACATGTTTTCCTTAGGCAAAAGCTGTGTAGCCCACTTTTCAGTATCTGTGACAGTTTTGGAACCTTCAAAACACAAATCCCTGGTTCTCCTGCTTTGTGGTTCAGGATCGGGGCTTAATGAACCCCAACCTGAGGATTCACAGTCTGAGTTGATCCCTTCTTGTTCACCTTGGGCTAACTATGCCATAGGAGGGTTCTCTGCCCCCCCCCCAACCTCCTCCCACAACTCTCAGAAGTTTTGCAGAAACCAGTAGGTGTGGAACCACTGAGGTCTAAAGGTGTGCCACTTTAGGACAGTGAGGACCACTCTGTACCCTATGTATGTGTGGGGCTGTGTGGTATGTCCTTGTCCATAATGGTACCCGCTCTGTCTTGGGTGGCTATTTCCCCTTCAAGGAGCCAGGCAGGTGGGGTTGGTGTGGCCAGCCCTGGGAGTTGATTTCAGGATGGTGTGCATCCTGATATCTTAAGGACTGACCTGAGGCCGGGAGCTTGGAGCTTGCCAGTCATAGGGTCAGCAACTCCATATCTCCCTTGGCTCTGTAGGTGACCACGCTCCCCCACACACTTGTTGGAAATACAGCCACACCCCGGCAACGATCCAGGAAGAGGACTAAGATGCTGTCTTTGGCTAAGAGGTACTGGGAGTTCCCTCCCTGGTAGGTACTGTGAACCTATGAGGGTCCTCAACACTGCTGTAGTTTGCCTACGCTTCAGGGTACTCCAAGGCTGGAGCCCTGGCTTTGGAGTATTTATGGTATTGGTTTTGAACCCTTTGGTTCTCACTTAAGTTGAATGTGTCTCTACTTCATAGGATTCTGCGTTTCAAAAAGGAATACCCCACTCTGCAGCCCAAGGAACCCCCACCCTCCCTGCTGGAGGCTGATCTCACAGAGTTTGATGTGAAGAATTCTCATCTCCCATTGGAAGTATTGTACATGCTGAAAAATGTCCGGTAAGAGAGCAGATGGGCACAGGAGACGCTGCTGCCAGCAGCCCGGGGTCCACTATGGGGTGTATTGGTAGAATATCACCATCCTCCTCACTAGAACATTCTATGACTTAGCGCTCGTTTATTAGGTGGTGGATGTGAAGGGTTTCTTTTGTTGGCCTGTACCCCCAGTAGTGGTGGGGTTGCTCAGCAGGGTCAGGATGCCTCAGGGTCTGTTCATTTCCTTACCTGTTCTTTCTTGTTCTATTGAATTACTTCTCAATGTTTTCATCTTTAGTGGCAAACTCGTAGGAAGCATGAGAAATAGATGAATGGACCAAAAGCTCCAAGTCTGGATTCTCTTCCATTTTTTTTCCCTTTCATTGTTCTGATGCCAAAAACCTTCCTAGGAAGATTCTATAACCTTCTATCATTTTTGTATCTGGCTAACATTCATGGTCACAGCTTGAGAAGTTCTTTGAGCTGATGGGAATCTCAGAAGTTTAAAATTCTGGTTTTTTTCTTTTTTGAGACAGGGTCTTGATAGGTAGCCCAGGCTGACCTTGAACTTGCCATGTAATCCAGGCTGGGCCTGGAACTTACAGTCCTCTTTTTCTAGCTTCCTGAGTGCTGGAATAACAGGGATGTATCACCATGCCCAGCCAGAAGTTTAAAATTCTGTTTTACAGCCAGGTGCTGGTGGTTCATACCTGTTCGTAACTACTCAGGAGGCAGAGATCAGGAGGATCATTGTTTAAAGCCAGCCCCAGGCAAATAGTTTGTGAGACCCTAGCTCAAAAAAACCCATCACAAAAGTAGGGCTGGGGGAGTGACTCAGGGTGTAGGCCCTGAATTTTTTGCAGTACTGCAAAAAAAAAAAAAAAATTCTGTTTTACAACAATACCAGATGATCTGGGTGAGCTGCAGTCCTGTCCCTGGCATAGTGGAGACAATGGCCCATGTCCCCTCAAGCCTCTTTCCAAGGCTGTCCCTTACCCTACCTGCCCTGGGAGTATGTCCCATAGTGTGTTCTGTTTGTTGCAGGGTCCTGGGCCACTTTGAGAAGCCACTGTTTCTAGAGCTTTGCAAACACATGGTCTTTGTGCAGCTGCACGAGGGAGAGCATGTCTTCCAGCCAGGGGAACCAGACACTAGCATCTATGTGGTGCAGGATGGACGACTTGAGGTCTGCATTCAGGACACCGTGAGTCAGGGTCAAGGGGCCTGGGGGTGGGACAAGAGCTAGGATTACTGTGTTTTCACTTAGCCATCTGTTATCTTAAAACTGAAAAGCTTCCATCAAGAACTTAGTGCAAGCTGGACACTGGTGGTTCACGCCTATAATCCTAGCTACTCAGGAGGCAGAGATCAGGAGGATCATGGTTTGAAGCCAGCCCAGGCAAATAGTTCACCTTTATCTCGAAAAACCCTTCACAAAAATAGGGCTGGTGGAGTGGCTCAAGGTGAAGGCCCTGAGTTCAAGCCCCAGTACCACCACAACAACAACAACAAAAGAAGTTAGTGCAAAATTTTAACTTTTGTTCTCTGGAGAAAAAAAGCACACCTTCATCTCAGCATTCAAACACAGCTGCTATTTTTGGGGGTGAGCAGTACTGTGGTTTGAACTCAAGGCCTCACACTTATCAAGCAGGCACTCTACCACTTGAGCCACTCCACCAGCCTCACAGCTGCTGTTTTGATTTTGGCAAATTATCTTTTATTGGTATGTACATGTGTGCCTATTGTTTAGGCACCTTAGTAGTGGTGCTTATGTGGTTTTGCTTGTATCTTCACCTGGTGTATTTTAAGTACTTTTCAATGTTTCTTTCAAGTCTCAGAACATTCCTGTTAATGGTTTGGTAGTAAATCATTGCATTGGTTGGCCATAATCAATTGACTCCCTTCCTCCATTTTCAGGTTTCTGATTATAAACAATTTTAATTGTAAGAAAACAACATGCCAGTTTACCTAGGAGCTAAATACTTGTTCTTTGCTTATGTTAAGTTGTATCCTTTGGATTGCAATTGCTGAGGTATAGCTTCTAGGTCAGACCCCACCAAGCTGTTTATGTTGTGTTGCTTTCTGAAAAGGTGGTATCAGTTTATTTGTCCTGGTGGCATGTGACCTTGGCTTCCTGTCTGGTATTATTGTTTACAGTAAGTACTTAGTAGTACTGGTGTCATAGTCCTCCCTGACCTTGCAGCCTCAAAAGTTCCTACCTGCCCAAATTCTGGGAGTGGGCAATGGTCCTAAGACCTGTCCTGCCAGATTTCTAGATCAAAGGCATTATCTGGGTAGAGTTGTTGATTTTTAAGCTTGTAGCTTAGCCTTTGGCTGGGCTTGATGGATTATTAGAAAAGAAAAGGCCTTGGTGTTAGCTGGTTTGGGAGGTCAGAGCCTCTAAGTTATGTAGCCATCCAGCTAGTAAGCATACTCCTGGTATGGGCTAGGAAAGGCCTGTGAATTGGGTAGGAGGGGCTCATGGAGGGTGATTAGTATCAGATATGGACAACTTCAAAATAGACTTTCCTGAGTTGAGTTGAGAAGTTACTATATTAAATTACCAAATTGTATGGTTTTCTTTCCTGTTTTGCCTAGTGGAAAGTTACATGAAAATTCTGTAATTTTTACTGATAGTAACTGAATTTGGACCTCAGAGCTCCTGTAATTAGTCCACTAAACCAATTTAGGTTTTGTGAAATTTCAGTTAAACTCACCCTGTTTAGATGAGTGATAGAATTGAGGTGCCATTGACTATTGGGTAGGGTTTATTTTCTTTCCTTTTTTTCCTTCTTTCTTATGGGTAGAGTTTCTTCAATTGTCTTGTTCTCGTTTTTTTTTTCCATCTATTTCTTTTGAGATCATCTATTGTATAGTTAGTTACTCTGATTCTCTTCAGTCCTCTGCATCTTGTCTGAGGCACCCACTTTATTGATGGCAACATGAAGATGGAGGCTTGTGTGCCCAGCTCCTCTGGGTGTAGGTGGGCCTCCCCACCTGTCCTGGTGGATATGCCCTGGACTAATGATTGTCACTCCTCACAGGATGGCACTGAGGTGGTGGTCAAAGAGGTTCTGGCGGGAGACAGTGTGCACAGCCTCCTCAGCATTCTGGACGTTATCACTGTGAGTACCCACTCCCACAACAGGCACCTGAGTGTCCTTGCTCAGCCCTTGAGGCCTCATTTTTTCCTGTACAGCAGGGCTTTTATTGTTAAAGGCCACTTCACAGTGACACAAGATGGAGGGGGGCTTCCTAGGATTGGGAGTAACCTTCCATTCTAAACATAGTAGTTAAAAGGGTGTCCATGGGAACAATGTCAACAGTGTGTTTAAGGCAGTCAGGCATTTGGGGGCCAGGTCACGGGGGTGGCTCAAGTGGTAGAATGACTGCATAGTAAATACAAGACCCTGAGTTCTAACCCCACCAGTAACACCGTAAAAGCAAAACAAAACTAATATGTCAGGCTTTTGGTTTGGTGTTAAGTTTAGTTGGTTCGGTTTTGTTTGTTTTTTGTGTTTTTTTTTTTTTTTGAGATAGGGTCTCACTATGTAGCCCAGCCTCCTGAGTACTGGAATTATGGTATGTACCACTACACCTGGTGATTTTTTTACTTTTTTATTATGGAATATTTCTAACATATAAAAGTGAACAGCACAGACACATTAGCCTGTTTGTTTGTTACCAGCTGCTATGAGTCTTAGCTCAGCATATCCTGTTCTAGACTTTTTGTGTGTGTCTGTGTGCTAAGGCCTTGCATGTGTTAGGCAGGTGCTCTACCACTGAGCTGTATCTGTAGCCTCCTTCTCTGTTAAGAAGAGTTTAATATCTACTTAGTTCTCTTTCTTTTGAGTAAAACCTACATTTAGTGACACAAATTTTAAGATTAGCTGATGTTTTTTGTTTATTTGTTTATTTTTGGTTGGACTGGGTCTGACTTCGTGAGTCACACCTCCAGTCCATTTTGCTCTGATTATTGTGGAGATGGAAGTCTCACATGATCCTCCCGATCTCAGCCTTCCAAGTAGCTAAGATTACAAGTGTGAGCCATGAGTGCCCACCTTTTTTTTGGTGGTGCTGGAATTTGAACTCAGGGCTTCATACTTGCAAGGCAGACACTCTACTACTTGAGCCACACTTCCAGCCTGATTAGTTTAATTTTGATAGCCTGTATATGTCTGTTTAACTCAGAAGGGACATTTGATTTTCATCTGGCTCTTTGAAACTGAACCTTTTGGTTCTTTGGTAGTTACATACTGAGGCTACTTTTACTTTGGCTTTTCTAGACTGTGTTATGATGTCTCCAGAGCAGTTAAACAGAACCTGGCTGGGATGCCTTCAGGCAGACTCCACCAAGAGAGTACAGAATCTTTGTATGGAATCTTGTAGGGATCCTGAGTAGAACTCTCCAATCCAGCCCTCAGCCCTGTGCATGTCAAGAAGGCAACAAGCTCCATGCAGATGCTGGGTTGTCCAGTGGAGCTATGATGCTCCCTGTCAGAAGGGCACAGACATGCTTTGTGCTGTTTTGGGGTATGAATGGGACACCCACATCTTGCCATGTCTACCAGGATCTGTTGTCTTCACAGGACATTTGGCCAGGACTGAAACAGCTGCTTGCCTAGGGAAGAATAACTTACCCTCCTCTGAGGCAGATCTGCCTTTAAAGGACTGGTGCTCAGCTTTGAGGGAACTACCAACATGGGTAGGTAGCCAGGTGCCATTGGTTCACATTTGTGATCCTAGCTACTCAGGAGGCAGAGATCAGGAGGATCATAGTTCAAAGCCTGCCTGGGCAAATAGTTCATAAGATCCTATCTTGAAAATAATCCAACTAAAAAAAAAAGGGGCTGGTGGAGTGGCTCAAGTGGTGGAGCACCTTCTTAGCAAGTGTGAGGCCCTGAGTTCAAATCCCAGTACCACCAACAAAAAAAAAGTATGGGGCGTTGGGCCAGAGCAGGGTGCAATTCACCGAACCCAGCTTTGGACTGTTTTGCGAGGGCTTTGGTTGCTATGAATCTTCAGAGCTCTGTCTGGCTTCATGGGCTTTCCTGAATGTGTAAGGGGCATTGGCATTCTTGAGAAGAGCTGGGAAAGGTCAGAGAGAGCTGTGGTCTACCCACCTTGGCTGCTTTGTTTTCTTTTCCTTTTTCCCTTCTTATGGTCCTGGGGTTTGATCCTGGAGCATAAGACATGCTAGGCAAGTACTCCACCACTTGAGTCATGCCCTCCCCCCAGCCCTTGTTTTTTGAAATGGGGTCTCACTAACTTTACCCATGCTGGCCTCAAACTTGCAATCCATCTGCCTCTACCTCCTGAGTAGCTGGAATTACAGGCATGTACTACCATGCCAGGCTTGGTTTGTTTTCTTTTAAGCAAAAGATAGAGTTTAGGGTAAACAGTGGTGTCAGTTTTTCTCTGATATTATTTCTTATTCTTTATGATCCTTATCTCATTATGGTTTTCAGGTTGGATTGATTTATTCCTGCGTCATGATGCATGTGGCCAGGAAGAGGGTTGTGGGCATCTTTTGGTCCTCTCTCATGCTTTGACACCACTGAGCTAGTGTCAGTATCTCTCTTAGGGAGAGGAGCCCCTCTTCCCTGAGTCTAATGAAATTAGAAAATGAGGGGATAATATTTGAGAGAAAATAATTCTGTATTAATTAATTGGTCATTTAGTATGATGTCATTTTTGTCTCATCAAACATTTGTATTGTCATGTTTTTAAAATTAAAAATTTTTTTTTTGGTGGTACTGGGTTTGAACTCAGGGCCTTGTGCTTGCTAGGCAGGTGCTTTTCCACTTGAACATGCCCCCAGGTTCTAAATTTTAATCTTTTACAAAATGACAACGTACAGATTTTTAAAATGTATTTGATGTTTTTTAAGCAATAGTTGTTTGTTCTGCCCCCAGTCTTTCCAACTCTTAGGTTCCTTCTAAGTACGTGCTTCTCTTGTTTTATATATAATTTTCTATCTTAGATACACTGTCTTCCTGTCTGGTTAATGGAGGTTACTCTCTGTTGATTGTCCAGTATGCCTCACCACTCCCAAAAATCCAACATTTTCACTAATGGTGGTATTATTAGGACTTTGTACATTTTATTTATTTAGAAACAGGATCTTGCTGTGTAGTTCAGAATGGCCTTGAACTTTTGATTCTCTTTCCTCTATCTCTTGTCAACTTTTTGTTTTCTTGGAATTGACAGTTGCCTCATTTAGATTTTTTTTTTTCTTTGCACCCATATCACAAATATATGTCCTGACCTGTGTTACATGAGTGGTACTTTTCTCTGGGAAAACCTCCTACCTAAGAGCCCTGTCTAGTCTGACTTTCCCCAGCCTGACATCTGTTTGTGTCCTGAGGTCTCCTGTACTATTCAGAGCTCTTGTTTCCTCCTTCCTGGTCTACTTTCTTGTTTTGGTGGAGCAAATACTGTTAGCTTCCTGAAAAAGGTACAAGGGAGGTATATTTTTGAAATCTTACAAATCTAGAATTATACTGTCTTTTCACTGTATTTCCTAGGAGATTTTCTCAACTTTATTTTTATTCTTATATTTTTGTGGTGCTGGGTAACTTTATTTTCTAAACCTTCCATTGATTTTTAAAAATTTCTATCATATTTTTATTTCAAGAGTTTTCTGAATATATGTTTTTTAAAAATAACCTTGTGTTCTTACTTCATGGGTGAAGTAAGGTAAGATTGTCTGTTGCTTCCTATGTGTCTCCAACCTTTATGAGTTTCTCTGTGTATTTTGGGTCTTATCTTTCAGATCAGGGGTTTTCTTGTCTCCAGTAGTTCATTTGTGTGAAAGTGGAGCTATTCAGACCCATGCAGATGCATCTCATAGGTGTAATGTGGAGCTAGCAGCCAGGTACAGAAGGCACGCATTGTGTAATTCCACTCACATGAGCTCAAATCCAAGCCACTATTGCATGCTGGAATTACAGAGGCCAGCAAACTTTTTCTCTAAGAGATCTGGTGAGATTTTTTCACTTTATGGGCCACATAAAAGTCCATCGGCAGTGTGCAGATGAATGAGAGTGGATGTGTGCCACTAAAACTATTTACAAAACAAATGGTAGAAGGGTTTCGCCCTGGACTGCAGTGGCTGCTCTGTGGTGGACGTCAGTGGTTACCTGTCAGGTGATTGGATTGGGCATTGATTTGAGAAGGCATAGATAATCTGGTTGCTGGGAATATTCTGTTCATTGATTTGGGTGGTAGTTATATGGGTTAATTATCAAAAGAAAAATGCCACTTAAAAGCTGGCATTTCAACTCCTTATGTGCATGGTCAAGACAGTCAACTGAGGGACCTCTGAAAGTTGGCTTCCAGAGACAGTTCAGGAAGTTGGCTTCTTCCTTTGGCGTTGGGAGCCCAGAGGTTAGTGTCTATAGCGCACATTCCCAGAGAGGAATTGGCTAATAGCCTGTGGTGGTGGCATTGGCCTGGAATAGGGAAGGGGTCTGAGAGTGCCTTTATCTAGGGTAGGCACTATTCTCTAGTCCTTAGCTGTACTTGATGATGCAGTGCTCCGATCTGTCTTGCTTTACCTTCTTCCAGAGAGAACACCTCAAAGTCTGCTGGTCTAGGGGAAAGGCCCCTGGGGTTTTCCTCCCAGGTTTGGCCTGCTCCTTACTGGGCCCCATCTGTATGTTAGTATTACCAAAAATTGAGTTCCTCTGGTCTCAATGCCAATTCACAAATAATAAGAGCATGGTCTTAAAGAAAAGGAAATAAAAGTTCGTTAATTTGCCAGGCAAATAAATGACTATAGCAGAGACTAGTATGCTGAAAAACTGCTGTCCCTCCTAAGGGGGAGTATGAATTTTTAAGAGAAAGCCCAGGAGTTTTAGTCTTTCCTGGTTTATTGCTGCCATGTTTTGTTGACAAAGACTTAATCCCTCATTCCTGTGTCCCTAGATGAGCATGGCGGGCCAGCAGGTAGCTGAGTAGCCTGCATGGGAAGCATGGTGCTTCAGTAGGTGGATGAAAAAAGTGCTGACCTTGAATTCCCCAGCATGGGAGAAAGAAGAGAATAAATTTCAAAAGGACAAGTTAAATTTGAACCATTGAGCAAAACAGGCTGGCTAGTGAGATGATTTAGTTGTTAGGCTAA